ATTCTCACTTACTACGTAAGCTGAGAATTATTGATAGCCCATTCTGCTGCTTGTAATTCTGATATACTTCTTAATTCATGAGCCATTTGCTCAACAGTACTGTGATGGGGTACGTTATTAATAACCACACTAAAATACTGCGTAATTTTCTCTAACAAAAATGGAATATTACCTGTTAGCACATTTGATAACACGCTAAAAATTTTATCCTAATGTTTAAAGGATAACACTTTTCAGTTTCAGACAACAGGAATTATAAAGACATTTTTTTTTTAATTCCTTGCTTGAAACAGAAAAGTAAAACTACAAAAATTAAACAAATATTTTTAAATACAAATGTCACGATTAAAGACATAAACACCTTACTAGATATGGTAACACCCAAAGATTTTCAAAATCTTTCTGAGATTGTTTTGTTTACAAAAATGAATTTTTTGTTTACAAAATCAATCTGAGATTGATTGATTAGATTAACAATGATTGTTAAACAAATATCTGCTTTTTATCTAAAAGAATATTAAGAATATAAAGAATATTATTAAGAATATAAAATTTTATCTAAAAGAATATGAAGAATTTATCTATATATATATACACATATACAAGAATTATCTAAAAGAATATGAAAATTTATCTAAAAGAATATGAAAGAATATATTTAGAATATAATAGAATATAAAAGAATATTATTTTATCTAAAAGTATATTAAAGAATAAACCATAATATAGTGTATTTATATTATATACATAACTTATGATTGAATAATAAAAATAAAACAATGAAATTATTAAAATAACGACAAAAATAATAATGACAGTATTATTATTACTGTTATTGTTATATACATAGTATGTAGATTCCGACTTTCTCCCACAACCACAGCAACACCCATCGCGAATTTGTTAAAACAAAATTTAGGTACCAAAACTGCTACACTTTTAAAATTATCTGCTACATATTATTTTTTCTTGAAATTTGGCAGGTGAATTTATAAAGGATGTAAAAAAATGTCTCAGTAGTTTTGCAAAATGTCTCAGCATTCCATCAATACAAATTTCACGTGACAACATCAAGTAAGTTTTCAATATCTATAAAGTCAACAAAAAGTAAATCATCCATACATAATTGATTAATAAAAATATAGATCTAAGTCTTTTCTTTTCAAAAATAATCTATGTTAATATACTTTTCTAAAAAGAAACAACACAACAAAACGTTTGTCTGACGCTACCTAAAAAAAAATTCAAAAAATGTGGCACAGAATTTTAGCACAAAATTCGATTCCGTAAAACGGCTATTTCCGCATACCTAATATATATATATATATATATATATATATATATATATATATATATATATATATATATATATATATATATATATATGTATATATATATATATATATTAAGTATATACTTGACACTTGATATTGTATATCAAGTATAATAATTGGTATACTATATAAAGAACCAAGTTCTGACTGTTTATATATATATATATATATATATACATATATATATATATATATATATATATATATATATATATATATATATATATATATATATATATATATATATATGTGTATATATATATATATATATATATATATATATATATATATATATATATATATATATATATATATATATATATATATATATCTTCTTCATATCCTGTAACTTCAGGGGTTCTTCAAGGTTCAATCCTTGGCCCTATACTCTTTTTAATTTACATTAACGATCTTCAGATATTATTACATCTAAGGTGGCATTGTTCGCTGACGACACTACTATTTATTCTTGTCATGATAAGAAGCCTACACTCTCTTGCTTGGAGGGGGTATCTGAGCTTGAAAAGGATCTCACCTCTGCTACAGCATGGGGCTCACAATGGCTGGTGAACTTTATTTCAGATAAAACTCAATTTTTTTTGGCCAATTGTTATCGCAATAATTTATATCTTCTTATATTTATGAATGGTAATGTACTAGATGAGTCATCTACCCTTCATCTTCTTGAATTAACTTTTACTTCTGATCTTTCTTTTAAACTGTATATCAAATCCATTGCAAAATTAGCATCTGCTAATGTTGCATCTCTTTATTGAGCTCGACACTTTCTTACTCTAGATTCTATTCTCTATCTCTACAAATCTCAAATCCGTCTCTATATGGAATACTGTTGCCATATCTGGGGCAGATCTTCTATTGATGCCCTTTCTCTTTTAGACAAGATGCAAAAACGCATTGTAAACATAGTTGGACCTACTTGTGCAGCCAATCTCCAACCATTGTCACATCGTCGTGATGTTGCTTCTTTTTCTCTTTTCTACAAATACTATAATGGGCACTGCTCTAAAGCTAGTTTTTTTCTTCAAACATCAGTTCTTTGGAATTTGCTTCCTTCATCTTGCTTCCCTGATTCATAAAATTTGCAATCTTTTAAGTCATCTGTCAATCGTTATTTTGCTCTACGAACTTAATCTTTTCTCTTCCAATAACTTCCAAACTCTTATAGTGGTTGTTCGCAGCTTTTTTGGAAGCGAAGATGTAATATATATTTTTACTATTATAATTTATATATATATATAAATTATAATATATAGTCTTTAATTCATCTACTTACTTATCTTAAGAATAATGAAATATAAAAAACGTTTAAAGTTGAGAATAGTTTTGATCTTTACTAGTATGATTCTATCGCCAAGTCTCTTGAATGTGATCAATCATTTCTCGATACTAATGTTGCAAAAAGTAGTATATTTTTTATTATGGTTAAATGTTTAGTTTTTTTTTATAAGGGTAAATTACATAAAAAATTTTGATCTGTAATTATATACATAATGCTCACTTTACAAGTAAACATAATTTACACAAAATTTTTGAATTGAATAAAACACTAATGAATTGCTCCTATGCCCAATATAACTTACACTAAATTGTCCCATATCAATTACGCTAGTGTTATCTTTTGAATTTAGAAATAGAAGTTATTAAATGTTGGTGGCTCATCATGCAATGCATTTGAGAAGGGCATGCTTTCAAAGTAAGTATAATTTTACTATAAAAAGAGCATTTTTAATACCGCAATTATATTGCATACTTGATATACATAAATATATACGCTGGTCACAACAATCCAGTCAAAAATTTCTTTAAAAAAATAAATTTAGCGTTGAGAAATTCGTATTTTTTGATGTTTGATGTTATGTTTATAAAATAATAATTATATATATGTGTGTGTGTTATTTATTTCTTTCCTCTTTATTTTTACATACTTATCTTAACAATATTTTTTTAAGGTTAAGGCTGCTTTCCTGATTCCTACAGCAAAAAAAACTTTAAAATGCTGGTGGCAATATTTTAAAGAGTGCATCTGATCGAAAAGAAAGTGAATGACGTCAACTGTTCGAAAATTCGATTCTTGGAAATTAACAAGTGGAAGAAGAAGTTTACAAAGTTGTAATTTATAAAACTCAGCACAATTATATTATTAAAAAATTTAAATGATTTATTATTTTTTTCTTATTCTCAAGAAGTTTTGTGAAAACATAAATTTGAACCTTACGTTTAAGTAAAGCCATGTTAGAACACGTATTTTAGACGTCGAAATAAGAACGTCTAAATAAGGTTATTTAAAGACGTCATTCGGCGTTTCCATTTAGCACTAGTTCTGAACGTCCTAAATTCACATCTTTTAGACGTCTAAAAACACGTTTTTATTCCGTCCTAAAAAGACGTCCTACTTACGCCTTAAAAAGACGTCATCTGGCGTTGCCATTTAAAACCAGTTCTGGACGTCCTAAAAAGACGTCCTTTTGACGTCATATGGACGTTGCCGTGCCCGCTGGGAACTTTTTTTTTAATATTAATGTATTTTAAACAATAACAAATGCGCAATAGTTGCATGATTGTTTTATGCCAAAAGTTAGCACAAATTTTTACTTTTTTTACAAAAGGAATGATACTTTTATATAATCATAATGTAAACAATTTTATTTCAGGAGTAAAATAAGTTTTATTTTGAGATTTAATGTTGGTTGACTTATACTAATCTATGTGCAATGCTTTTTTATTTATTTAGAAAATAATTTGTTTATTTAATTAAAAATTATTCCAATACAAACGCTTTTTTTTTTATTTATTTCCAAAACCCATCCACGGTTGCATTAGCTTCTTTATTCAAGAAAACTTTCTAGAAAGAAACGTTTGCAGGTTTTCAAATAGTTAATTGTCACTGGAGGCTAAATCTAGTGAATAAAGTGGATAATTGAAAATTTTTTATTTAAATTCATTAATTTAAACCATTGTCAAGACATTAAAATGAACATTTGTTTTGTCTTGATGAAAGTTTTATACTTACTTTTTTTTTTTTAATCAGCTTATTAATTTTTCTGTGCTGTAGCAATATGTTCGTAGCTAACCAAGAACAAAGTCGAGTCAATCTTTTTCATCTATTTAAATGGTAAAATTGATACTTTACTAGAATCATAAAGGATCAAATTATCATATTCCTTTGACTAGAGTTGTTAACATTGACTATGTTGAAAATTCAATTCGGTTACTTCTTGAACAAAGACGAAATGTTCAAAACAAATCAGAACTTATTCATCGAATGGAGGTGACAAGAAACCATCGGCGTGCATGGATATATACATTATTTCTATCAAACAAAAAAACTGAAGCTGTATGCTTTGTGCTAAACACGTCATGTACCTTATGATTAAATGAATACTGTGACTAAATAACCTTTAGAATTGTGTGCAACAGCAATAAAAGGTATAAAATATAATTTTTATATTAAAAATTGTTTTGTTTTGTTGTTTGTTGCTGAGCTTTCTTTTATTTTTATAGAAATAGTATTATATATATTTAACTGTAATTTTGTTATCTTTTATAACAACACAGTTGTATGATAAAAATTTAAACAATTTGAAAGATATTGTTTAATATTCTACTTATCTGAAACATTACATTTTATTAATTACTTTCAGATTATTAAAGAGCTCTAGTTTAAAAATTCTTTTGAAATGTGGCTGCATGTTTAATGGATGACACAATCTAGAGTACGTTAAAAACCTTAAAAGACCGGGAGTCAAACAACTAATACTTCTTCATGTGTCTGGTCAATATTTTACCAAAGTATGTAATACAGTTATTATGTTGCTTTGTTGCAGTTGTTTTATAGAGGCTTTGGATTATTTAATTATGACATTTTTATGTATTTGTTGTTTAATATCCAACTGAATTAAAACTTTTCAATGGATTTTTAGAAAAGGTTATGCGTATGCAATCAACTATTCGAAGTTCGATGATTGTTGACTTGTTCAAGCAATTATCATACACTCAAAATTTTAGAACAAGAAAATTGTTTAATTTATTTTTAGTCTTGGTTTAAGGAAATTTTCAATTTTAAACTCTTTTATTAAAAATTTTTAATTCATTAAATATTTGAATAAATAATTAAAGAAGAATTAGATCAAAATATTAAATAAATTAAAAAATTAAAGATAGTTAATCTCAGGGGTGGCAGAAAAGTCGGGGGCTCTGGGGGCTTTAGCCCCCTCATTTTAATAGTGTAGGGGCTCTCGGCATTTTTGCTTCCCTCTCACCCTCCCCCTTTCCTTTCTTTCACTTTTTAAATCTGTAAAATCATTATTTTAAAAGTTTTGTTTTAAATGTTTTACTTTTTTCATTTCTTTTTTTTATTGTTCAACTTTTAAATGTTTTACAACTTCTTGTTTTACAACTTCAAGCCGCTAGAGGTCAATTAGTATTTTGTATTTGAAATACTAACTTAGCGTATTCGCTTCGAATCACTTTTTACAAGCTTCTAGAAAGCAGTTAGCGTTTTATATTTAAAGTAATAACTTTATGTGTTTGCTTTGAACAATGTTTTACAATTCTTATGGGAGCGACTAACGGTTATGAATATTATATAAATCTATACAGAAGAACAGTAAACATAATTCGCATTTCCTAATCTTACGACTTGTATTTTCATACAACTACGAAGAGTCATGACGGAACTGTCTCATAAAAAACAACGAACACTGATTTCTTACTTTGTAGATGAGAAGCATTCTTCAAGTCCTACTTTACCAACGTAAGAAATTATTTAATAAGGAAACGGAAAAAAAAAGAAAATTGAAAAATCTTTTCCTGCTTGTTCCTGCTGTGAGTGGAATGCCGAAAAAACAGAAATAAATCTTGCCGATATTGAAGCAACCAAAAAAATGTATGGCAAACAACTTAAATTTTTCAATAAAAAATGGATTATAAATTACCCTTGGATTCAGATACGTTATTCCAAATAGAAATTATTTTGCTATATTTGAATTAGTGCTGTCGAGAAAAATTTGGTATATTTTCCAAAATGCGGAAAACCAAAATTTTTTGACAATTGGTTGTGACAATTAGAAAAAGGCTGTAGAAAGGCTGAGAAAACACAACCTATCATCATTTCATAAGGAGGCACAGGAAAAGTTATTTACACTACATGCAGCAGGTTTAAAAATCATACATCAAATGATAAGTGAAATGATAAGTAATAATAAGTGATAATAGTAATGATAAGTAATAATAAGTGAAATGATAAGTAATAATAAATGAAATGATAAGTAATGCAATGAGCATTAGGAGTGCTTTATTCGTGTAATTTCTACATTAAAATGTGTTACTCAACAAGGCTAAGCTATCCAAGGGAATGATGAAATTGAAAGAAATCTTAATCAGTTACTTCTAATGAGTATTGAAAATTATCCACCTCTATTTAGCTGGCTGTCAAACAATAAGTACATGTCTCAAGATACTGTTAACGAGATGATAGAATTAATGGCAAATTATGTGATAAGAAATGTACTTAGTGTTATTAAATCGAGAATATTTTTATCTGTAATATGTAATGAAACCCGAAACACTTTTGGTATTGAGTAAATGTTTATATTTGTTTGATCAGTTTCTGGAAATTTTATAATATACGAAGATTTTCTTGGTCTCTTTACAGTGGATGCTACCGACAGTAAGTCGCTTTTTTATGCAATATGTGATGTTTTATTAAGATGTGGGCTAGACAAGAAAATGGTGTGGGGGAAAAGTTACGATGGTGCCACTTTAAGGTTTCTACGATAAAGATTATACCCAAAAAATGATTGTTGCAGAAATATTGATGTTCCAGATGTATTGTTGTTGCAGAAGTATCGTTACACCATGTTTCTGCAATGAAAATTGTATCTGGAAAAATAATTTCAGTTTTAACTATAAGTTTATTTAATTTACTCTTTTTTAATGATGGGGTGCCATGTTTATACCAATATAAACATTTTAAACTATTTGAGGTGGATTCAAAACTTATAACTGGCAGTTGTGCATTATCATTTGTTTTGGTATTAAAAGAATGGGTATTGGTCACAGTTCTTTTAAATTTTCGATGTTATTTTTATTGTTTGCCATTTTATACTTAAATTTCTATGTTTTTTTTTCTCAAGTTTTACTATTCTGTTAATTTTTTTACCATAATAAAATGAGATATTATTCATTTCTGAATGTCCATTTATAACTTTAACTTCAAATCTTCACAACTTCGTTAAAAAATTTTTTGCTTTAGTCTTGTCAATATTAAAGTAAATATTTAATACCATTTCCCTGTTTTGAAAAGCTGCCTTTAGCACTTGATTTCTTGCACGCATACTCTTTAAATTTATACTTTGAATGACTTTTAATACTTTTATCGTCCTCTTTTTTTTCATTTAAGTTGCTTTTTATAGACTGGTTTAAGCCAAATACAACAAAATTGTTTTCTCTTTTAGCTCTCTCACCTCTTATTTGCTACAATATTATTTATTATATACAATATTTAAATTGGAGTCTTTTTATTGTTTTTGCTGGTAACGACATTCCATGACTTATTTTATTATTTATTACACTTATTTTAAAACAATATTTTTTTCCATCACTTTCAATATACTTTTTTCTACATTTTTTTTTTTAGAGGTTTTTAAATTTTAATTGTTTAATTTTCTCAAATAAATCTATTTTTTTTTTAAGGTTTAATTAACTTTTACCTTTATGTTTACCTTTTTTTTCAAAAAAGTGCGTCTTCAAAAATATACGTCTTTCAAAAAATACGACTCTTAAATTTAAAAATTTAGCTTAAATTTAGAAATTTAACTTCGAGTTTGATCTTGTTTTTTTGTGACTTGACTTGAAGTTTAATTCAAGTCATAAGTGCATTCAAGATATAAAACTATTTAGAGAAGAAAATTTAGTAAAATTTTCGCCACAATATAATACTTTATTTGTTTATATCTTTTTGGTATATTGGACCAGAGGCACGTTGCAGTGAAATGTTAACGATAGCAGAATGTTAAAGCAAAATGTTTAGAAGTGAAAAGACCTAAATATACATTTTTCTAAACTATTTTTTTTTATTGCGCAGCCAGCGTTTTTTCTTCTTTTTTTTTTTAGGTTTAACTTCGTCCGCAATAGGATGCCTTCAGCCTCTTAAACTAATTTTTTTTTTTATGTAATAAATCATGAAAAAAATGTATTTAGTTGAAATAAAAAAGTAAACATTAACTTGAAAATTATGTTTTTAATACCTTTTGGGCATATTTAGTTTTGAACGTTTTAAATAAATAAGAGGGTTTAGTTAATAACAAATGCATTATGAGTTATTTACTAAATAATTCAGGAGTTTGGGTTTTGATACTTAAATTAATTTTTGCAAGACTCGACTCGAGAATTCAATTAAATTGGCTCTGCTTGACTTGGGGCTAGACTTGTACTTAAGTAGAAAGAGTTTAAAAATGCATTAAACATATAAAATAATGACTTGGTCACAGCTCTGGTTGCGAAAGTATCGTTTAATATTATCAAGAAAAATCATACACTTTTTACAACCTAAACTCAGGGTGGAAACAAATAAACACTTATATCAGGAGAAAATCAGAGAGTACTCAGATAGTACTAGTTTCCAAAACTGACATAAAACTTGCGATGGTATCAGACGCTTCATTTTTATAAGATTAGACTCTCCTTTGGTATTAATGAAGCAAACACTTCTCTTCTATAAATAAAATAAAATTTGAAATAAAAACTATTAAATGAATCAGATGTATAAATATATTATTAAGAATGTCTTGTATAAAAAGTACGAGACCAAAAGATCAGCAAAAACTTTAAGAATTCTTTTTGTTCAAATTGTTTAACATTAAAAACAAAAAAAGAAAGTTAAATCCGTGTTTTTATAGAAAAATAACAAAAAAAAGCAACAATACAATTATTTTAATAAATTATTAAATATATTTAATAAAATAACAGATGTTTACCAATTTAAAAGCAATATATTAGTTGCAACCATTTAGGAACTGAAAAAGAAAATGAATTTCCGCTTATTTCTCTTGACAAAATTCATTTTTTCATTTACTTAATGTAAACAGTATTAAAATATTTGAAAAGATTTTAAATAAATAACAATTTATTAGCTATAAGACTTTTAAATGAACTTTCAGACCGGTAACATGATTTTTAATGTGAGTAAAGTTTTTGAAATATTTTTCCAGTGACTTATTATTGTTTTCCTCAATTTAATATATTCACGTCGGCAGATAATTTCGTTTCTTTGTATATAACAAATAGATTGAAGACTCTTACTACTAAGTGCCATCAACAAACCAATCATAAAGAGGTTAACTGCATTCACGGCTTTTGCATCCGTTGTATATTGCGCTATGACACAAATTGATGAAATCAACAAAAATACTAATTTTAAAAAGTAATGCTTTCGCTAAGTAATATTACCTGTTGTAAGTTAAAAATAATTTAAACAAGTAAATATTTCTGATGTCAAGAAGTGTTTTTTTCTACAAAATATACACATTATAATCAACTTTCTACACAATAAAATCAACCTCCTTATAATCTAGTTTTAAGGAATGTCAAATATCATTACCTATTGTCATAATCTTTTACTAATTCCACTTGTAATTCCTCTTTCTGTTCAAAACTGCGGAAATTCAACAGTAGGACTCCATCATTCAAAAAATACAACATATTTTTTTGGAGGCATTTTCTCAACTCATATTAAAAATGGCAGCGTGTATATTCTCGATGAAGCGTCAATTTTATTGGTGTCATCAATGATGTTTGCTATTCAAGAAATAAATGAAAGAAAGGATATACTTCCAGGAATTGAAATAGGTAAATACCTATATAATTATATTTAATAATGAAACTAATTTTTAGTTAAGTTTGTTTTAGGTTGCGAATATACAATAGAACAAGAGTATTATTTGTTTTAACTTGTATTCAAGGATATGAGATTCGCGATTCAAGAAACGATGTTTTGTGTGCATGTGAACACGCCTTAGAACTGTTGCTAACTAAAAAAAACTCAGTACTTGTAGGAGTAGTTGGTCCAGACTCCAGTTCTCTTAGTGTTGCTGTGAGTACTATGTTGCTGTCTGACTATGTTCCACAAGTTTCATATTCATCAACAAGTATTTCGTTATCACAGCGTTTCGTATATCGCAACTTTTTTCGTACTGTCCCTTCTGATGTCTATCAAGCAAAAGCTTTAATGGATTTAATTGAACACTTTCAGTGGACATACATATCATTGTTTACTTCTGATGACGAATATGGTCGTTTTGGTCGTGATGAAATTCTCAAAGCCGCAACTGAAAAAAACATTTGTTTTTCTGTGGTTCAAACAATTTCTAGTATTCTTTTAGAAGATGAAGTTGGTGGTATATTAGAAACTATAAAGAGGCACTCCAGCGTTGTAATTTTATGGTGCGAATCTGAATCAGCCGCAATGATAATTTCGCAAAGTGTTGCACGAGGTTTAAAGTATATAACGTGGATAGGTAATTTATTTTTTCTTTCTAATAAACAGTTTTTAATTTTAAATGCAATAATTTTGGTTGGTATAATAAACTGTTCTCATGACACAACAATTAGTAGAAACAGTTTTTTAACGATATAAAAAAATAAAAAAATAAAAAGTTTTCCTATCAAGCATGTTAAAGCAAAATTTCAGAATTTCTCAGAAGTTTTAGAATGACTACTTTAATGTGAAACTCAGTTAAACATTCACTATTAAAAGAACTCTTTTTTTGTTTTTGAAAGAAATTAAAGACAACAAAGTTTAAATGTTGTATAAAATTAAAGACCTACTCTAGTTCACATTGATCATTGTCCTTTTATTAATATACGCTAAAGATTTTAGCCAAAAAGTTTATTAGTGCCGCAGTATTTTAGGAAACAGAATCGATCTTTTCTTATCCTTTTTTTGTCTTGTCCTCTTAAATTCGGCACATGCGTAATTAATTTGAAAATTTCTATTTCTTAACACTCTGTTTTTTTTAATAACAATGCATAAAATAACTTCTTTATTTAATGAAATCAGTTAATTAAATTTCTAATGGTAGAGAAATATCCAGGTAAATTTTAATGATAAAGTTACTTAATTCCTTTACGTAGCAAAACTATTGAAATTATTCTTTATTTTTTAAATGCCTAATACTGTGTTTTAATTATATAAGATTTAATTATATAAGCAAATATTTTTGTTTCACCACAACCTTGGCAAATTAGTTTATTAACGTTTTCTCTGACATATTTGTTCAGATTTGTTTTTCTTTTCCCAATTAGATCCAAAACGGTAAATCACTATAATTGAGCAACAATGCAGTAAAAAACTTTTCACTGGAAATAAAGACTTTTATTATAGGAACGACTTTCTCTTATATTTAATTTGTTACGATTGTATTTAGAATAAGTAACTTTAAAAATATGAAAGCAACACTTAGAATTTTTTAGTGGGTGATAGGACCTATAGCATTATGACAACCGAAAACCATTTAACATTTATTTTCTATTGCAATTCAACTTAATAATAAAATTGAACAATATTTATTATTGAGTAAAGAGAATAAAGAACTATTTGCAAGGTTTTTTCATTTTAAGAAAATGCTAAATGGCTATAAAAATTTCTAAGAGGCCGCACAATCTTTATACAACTTTGCGACAATTATTTTCATAAAAAACTTAAAAGCCAATACTAAAGTTTTATTGATATTTTTTAAATCTATTGATAAATCCAGCCGCTATTTATAAAATAAAAATGATTAAATAAAAATGATTAAAACAATAAAAGAAAAATATTATAGAGTAATCGAAACAAAATATGAAGTTTTAAAAAACTTCACAGTTTGTAAATTTCTCAAATATATAAAAAGGTCCTTGTTATGGACGTCGCTAAATTTTTTTAAGTTTCTGTTCATTTCTCACATTAATATAAGCTTTAGCCACGGTAAAAGTATGCCAAAATTATTAAATATATTACTAACAAATAACAAGGAAACCTTAAACAAATTTCTTTTCTTTAAAAGAGAGAAAATTGTAAAACATCTATTGCAATAGGTGTAAATATATAAAATATTATAAAAAAATGTTTAGAAACACATATTTCAACAGGTGTTTTCATTAAAAGCAAACTTAAAATCCACTTACTTTACTGACTATCAGTGATGAAACCAGGATGGAGGTAGGAAGATAGGGAGTACGCATCCCCCCAACAAAATTAATTTCTTTTTTTTTATTTTTTTATTTAGAGGCTTTTTTTAAATTTCAGGAGCTTTTCTTTTTTTTTTTTTGTTTTTGTAAGATTGGTATCAACAAGCACCACCACCCTCCTCTCCACTACCTAAAAATCTGGACCAGTCACTGGTGACTAATAGTTTTTAAAAATTTTGAAAATTTGTAAAAATTTTAGATTGCTTCCACACAGTAGGAAGATTAGTAGATTTAAGTGAATTGTCTACTTTTTTATTTATTTATTGTTATTATTATTATTATTGCTTCTTTCGTTAGCATGATAGTCAGAGTTCACTACACGGCTGATATTGACCATCCTGGTATACTACGCATACTAGCATGTTTAATTAATTCCTCGCGAAGCGGCTTTGTCAACCAAAATCTGTGCTTTGGAGAACACGCAACCTTAAGTTTTATAATTTTTGAGATGAAATATTTTTTTTATAAAGTTTTGTTAGTAAAAATTTATTATTTTGATTATTTTTAGCAAAAAAAACTTTTGTTTTTTATGCTAAAAAACAAAAAAAAGATTGTTCAAATTGTTTCAAAAAAATTTTTTAGAGTTATATTTTTTTCAAAATATATACCATTACTGCCAAATAGAGACAAAAAGAGACAAAAAGAGATAGATGTAACTAAAATTAGTAAAAGAATAAAACTATTATTTTAATTTCTGGTAATTCGCAAACAGGAGTACTGTAATAGTGATTTCAACTAATAAATATAGTATATACAATGTAAAATTGGAAGCTGACTTACTATTCAGTGATGCTTTTACATTAAAATCCGTGGTGGATCACCCAATAGGCATAGAGGCAGTTTCCCATCGGACCGTCCGTAAAGAATGTCAGTAATTTTTCACGGTTTATTGACCCCCTCCTCTTTTGTCAAACTCTACCAATTTTTGGCTTAACTTGTCTTAAAAATGATGTCAGTTTTTGTCACCCCAGACCCTCCTCCTAAAATAAAATCAAACACGTTTATGCCTTACTTTTTTGATTTAATTATACATTTATTCTTAAAAGTACTGAATTATCGTAAAAAAAATATTATTAAATTTGTTATTTATTAATAATAAACTTTTCTTGCAGAGTTTGAAGAAATAAGCAAATAAAAACTTGTCGTTACGTTTAAAATGTGCTTTTGATGCTAGTAGACAGTTTCACTATCAAATAATCATGTGAAGAAATATTATTTTATATCTATAATACCAGTTGTAAAACATTAAAACAGCATCGTTCTAACTAATTTTTTTTTTTGGTGATATTTTAGTCTAATTTGTATAGACCATCACCAGACGTGAAATACAATTTAAAAAACCGTTACAATATAAAAATTAAAAATCATAAAGAAGCCAATGCAAAGACAACGTCAACAAAAATTGTTTTGTTTTTTTACAATTATTTTAAATAGTGGTCTCCAACTATTTGAAGCAACTTTTACCCCGTTATCCCTGTTAAGCAGTACTGGCCATTACTTAACATCCTGAGATGTTTGCGCATAGTTAATTTCAACTGATTTTCTTATTTTCCTTTCATGATAATTGTTATTTATAGATAAAGTTTTTGGGTACAGCCATGCGAATATTTCATCGCATTCTTTGCAATGCTCAGTAGCTCCATAAGCATGCCAATTGCCATTCGTGCTATTAATTTAGAGTTCTACGCTTCTTTGCAAAATTCTCTTTTTTGTATCTCCAATATAAATTCCCCCACACGAACACATAAGCTTGTACACCCCAGGGTTGCTGTTTGGCATTAAACTAGATTTGTTGTTACAGAGAATTGTTTTTAAATTAGGTGGTGTTATAAAAATAACTTTGACATTATATGTTTTAAGTGCTTTTCGTAGTTTTGGTCCAAGTGTTGGTACCCAAGGTAGCTTTATTATCGCAACATTATATTTTTTTTATTTTTATTTTTTTCTTATATTTTTTAAGCCTTCATAGTTTTAACAATACATACTTATATTACAAATAATTTTTTTTTTAGGGACATATTTTTTATATTTAAATTACTCATTTATATTAGAAAATTTCCATACAACTGCTTAATCTAAGACGAGTTTTTTAAGATCAGCTTTTAAGGAATTTAACGACGAGTTTTTTAAGATTAGCTTTTAAGGAATTTATATTTTTCAGGAGAAATATTGAGGAATTTTTTGGTACTAATTTGTTATACAAGTAAGGACCGCGATATGCTATAGAAAATTGGGATAGTTTTCTTTTTTTCAACGGAAAATATAGTTTCCAGTTGCTCTAGTGCTAAGTTTGTTTATATTAGCTTTAAAAAAGTTATTTTATAAATCGACTTGGAACAGTTCCCATTTTATGTTTGAACATAAACAAAATATTTTGATATATATTGATTTGGGTAAATGTTTAAAGCATTCATCTGTTTTAGTAATGGGTTTGCCTGAGTCAGTTTGTTTTTATAAAATATAACTCTTTCTACACTGCAAATATAAAATATAACTCGTAAAGCAAGTTTCTGCCAACTATAGAGAGAACTTAATTTAGTTTTATGGGTACTTGTCCATGCTATATTGGCATATGATAGATAGCTGCGTATAAAGGAAAAAAAAAAAGTTTTAAATTTTTGAACGATAGATAATTTCTTGCTTTATAGAGTAGACCAATGTTTTTTGAGATTTTTGTATTAATGGTATTTATGTGAGAGCTCCATGATAAATTCTCGTCAAGAAGGACACCAAGAAATTTAGATGATTGAGTTCGTTTAATAATTGTGTAATTTGATAACGTAGCTTTTTTTTTGGTTAGGGTGAAATAAGATGTATTTAGTTTTTTTTAAGTTTAATGACAATTTGTATGCTCTGAACCATGTGTTAAGTTTAATAAGTTCTAAGATTGCGGTTATAGAGAGGTTCACTGATTGAGCTAGATGAATAAACAGATTATTTTCGTCTGGAAAAACTATGCTATCTAACTTAGATGAGACTTTAGGGAGGTCGTTGACATAAATAAAAAATAGAAGTGGAGCTAGAATAGATCCTTGAGGCACCCCGCATTTCTAGTTTTTTTGCAACTTAACTGTTGGGATTGTTTATACATGAAAGGTAATTTGCGGCAATCGTTTCTAGATTTGAAAAAACAAAAAAGAGAATTTTGCAAAAGTAATTGATCTCTATTTGATCTCTTATGACCGTTTTCAACAAACATATCTGTCTCTAGATTTGATCTCTTACGACTGTTTTCAACAAACATATCTATTATAAATTGAATCTCGTTGTTAATGTATTTTTCGGAGCA